CCTGCAGCTGGCTGCCGTAGGCAGCCTGTGGCAGGGCCCCCGTGGTCCACAGCCCCTTGGCCTCCAGCGCCAGGGCCGCGCGCTGCCTGACGCGCTTGATCTTGCCAGCTCGCAGTAGGCCCGCGCGAAATCGGGCGCCGATCTTCCGGCACGATCGGCGTCGCCCCGCGGCCGCGTCGCAGCCCAGGTCCACCGCCGTCTGCACGGCCTTGACAGGCAGCGCGCGCGTGGACAAGGCCCCTCGCAGCTCCAGCGCCAGCTCCGCGTCCGACGCCAGCACCTGCGTCTTCTCAGAAATGGTCAGGCCCCTCTCGACCACGAAGCCCTGCTCGAAGACCCGGCCCACCTCCTTGAGCCCCTGCACCACGGCCTTCTTGGAGCCCTCTTGCCGCGCCGTCGTGTCGTCCACGAAGGTCCAGAGGCCGCAGGACGGCGCCACCTGGTGGGCGCGCTGCAGCACCTGATGCATATACACCTTGGCCAGGCTCACTCCCCTCGCCGAGCCCGCCACCACCGAGCGCGTCGGGTAAATGGCCATGCTGAGCCCGTGGTGGCGGTCCTTCAGCAGCCTCGGCGCCAAGAAGAGCTGGACCTCCATGGCCACGACGATCGCAGGGTACTTGACCTCCACCGCCAGCTCCATCAGCAGCACGAGGCTGATGGTGTCGTAGAAGGTCTGCAGGTCAAGCAGCAGGGTGTCCGAGGCCGTGAGCAGCTCCCTGCCGACCTCGTCCAGCACCGCCCTGTACAGGGCAGCGCGCAGGGAGGAGCTGCCCTTGATCGCCCCGTCCCAGAAGGCGCCCAGCTCCTCCGTCCAGGTCCAGACGATGGCACCTCGAGCCTTGCTCCAGGCCTTGGGCAGCAGCGGGATCATGCCCAACACTCGGTCGCCGCCCGCAGGCTTGGGCACGGCCGCCGCCAGTACCGCCATGCACTGCCGCGGCCAGCATCCCTCCTGCTCGCACTCGTTGGCCAGGTCGGTCAGGTCCCGCTTGGCCGCCTCGGGCAGGCGGTCCACGTCAAGAGAGCTCAGGACGTCCACCCCCCCCGCCTTCGTGCCGCCAATGGACCGCAGGGCAGTGGTGAACTCCTCCAGCTCCAGCGGCGGGTAGTCCTCCTCCCTGGCCACCTCCAGTGTCCTGATCAGCTGGAGCCTGAGATTCTCATCTACCCCCCGGCGAGGAGGAGGAGGAGGAGGAGGAGGAGGAGGAGGAGGAGGAGGAGGAGGAGGAGGAGGGGGAGAGGGAGGAGGGGGAGGAGGAGGAGGAGGAGGAGGAGGGGAGGGAGGGAGGAGGAGGAGGGAGGAGGAGAGAGGAGGAGTGGGAGGGCGGAGTAGGAGGACGAGGGGGGGAGAAAAGGAGGAGGAGAAAGAGGAGGATGAGGCGTAGGGAGGGAAGAGGGGGATGAGGAGGAGGAAGGGGAGGCGGAGGAGGGTGAGGAGGGGGAAGGAGGAGGAGGCGGAGGAGGAAAATGGGGGATGAGACGGGGTGAGGAGGAGGCGATATGAGAGAGGAGGAAAGGAGGAAGAGGAGGATGATGGATGAGGAGGAAGGAGGGAGGAGGAGGAGGAATGGGAGGGAGAGGAGGGGCAAAAAGGAGGAGGAGGAGGAGGAGGGAGGCGGAGGAGGAGGAGGAGGAGGAGGAGGGAGGCAGGAGGAGGAGGAGGAGGAGGAGGAGGAGGAGGAGGAGGAGGAGGAGCGCAGGGAGGAGGAGAGGAGGAGGAGGAGGAGGAGGGGGGGGGGAGGGGACAGGCAGGGGAGGAGGAGGAGGAGGAGGAGGAGAGGAGGAGGAGGCGGAGGAGGGGGGGAGGAGGGAGAGGAGGAGGAGAAGGAGGAGGAGGATGAGGACGCTAAGATGACCGATGGTTAGTTTCAAAAACAGAGGACTGAGCCGCATCCAGCGACAGCCTGGCTCAAATCTCCCGCTGAGCGGGAAACCTGGACTATGCCGATGCCAGAAGCGGCTCGGGTGGGCCAGACTGCGTCTCACCCCGCTTGAATTTCTCGAGGAAGGCCACACCAGTTGGCGTGGCCTGTTTGCACGCTCTGAGAAGTTTATGGGCGCCTCTAAAAGCATGCGCGCCACACGTTAAGTGCCCTTACTCGATATGACCATATCGTGTGATGGTTCAACGTAACGCGCACCTATGAATACATTGCTTAGAGATCGGGAACCCTCGATCCCCGCACGAGGCTGGGCGCTCACGCAGGGAGTGGCTAAAAACTCCTGGGCGGCCTCGTTGTCGTGGGAATTCGTAGGGGTAACAGAGCAGCACGCACTGCATGCGAAACGACATGTTAGTCCTGTCCCGCCTACTGGAATCAGAGTGTTCACGCTCTCTCGAAACAGCCTGGCAAGCCTCGGTCGTGGGTTGAAGCTGGGCCCCGGCTTCTTTTTGACCTGAGCTTTTGCTCGGGCACGGGGCCTGGCCAGGGGGCCCGAAGACTCGGAAAACATCGACATAAAAATATCACAAGCACGCGCCCTCACTGCTTGGGTCAGACTCTCGGTAATCTGGACGGCCTCGACCACACCAGAGGGAAGCTGGATCTGCTTGGACATGGTCTCCGCCAACTTATCTGCAATCTGATTACCAACCCACGAGAACAACAACACTTCTTTTTCAGCGGCCTGCTGAGGCGACATGTGCGACTCGATCTTCAGGACAGTGGTCGTCTTGACTCGTAGCAGGCGCTGGGCACGGCGCCATTCACTCCGATGTCGTTCTGGAAATATGTCGAGCTCGCGACGTTTCTCACGACATACGAGGAGTCCGCGACGTAGACGATAGCGTGGCCCGACGGGGCCTCCTCCAGGAACTTCAGGAAAGCGATGAGCCCCGTGGTTGATAGATTGGGCCCCCCAGGTGCCTCCAGAAGACGTCCGAGCGGTTCTGAGGTCAGGAACGGGATTGGAGATATCGAAACCCTCGAGAACCATATAAGCCCAAGAGACGCGCCTGAATCTTGGGTCTCCTGAGTACTTACCTCCAGAGGCGTCGCCAGCTCCGACATTAAACTCACCCCTTGTGGGAAGTCGCCGGAGACGTGGTACGAAAATCTCGGCTTCGTCTGGAGGTCTTGGAACATGTGTCCACTCCGAAGGAGTGAAACCTCGAAGCCGCACTGCTGGCTGCGCCTCGACCTGGGCCCTTGCCCTGTGCGCGTACAAATTGCTGCTGGCGGCTGAGGGTAAGTCGCTGTTCGCAGTGCATTCCCAAATCCTGTGAAAAGTAGTCTCGACATGTCCTCCGTCGCAGCGCTCGCACAACACTGAAAAATCTGGCGGACCGATGACGTCTTTAATTCTCTGTTTGGCCCAGTGGCCTCCACAGCAAGCGTTGGTGAGGGCTCCTGTCCACCGATGGTGCTCTCGATCTCTAGCTCGCCGAATGTGTTGCCTAACGTCCGAAAGGTCGATACCGTGTTCAATGTTTTCACTCTCGTAATGTTTAGCTGCACGTTTCCAGAACATACGACGAACTGAATCAGCTAGCTCTTCTCGAATATCTTTTAGGTCGAGGGGCCCCGCTTCGAGGATCTCTGGAGTAGCCTGGTAGACATTCCCAAGATCGGATACCCAATGCATAGGCCCCACAGGATCCCAGTTGATGTCGGGCAAGGTGTTCACTACGGCCCTCGCGGGGCCCTTGACGTTCCGCCATCGGTGCTGTGGGTTAGCTCTTGCGCGTGCAACATGCCCCGCCCAATCTCTGGCAGCAAGACTTCTCTGCTCGACGCCTGCTGTGAGGATGGTCATCCAGCTGTCGGGCGTCCGAAAACCTCGGCTGATGGCGGGGTCCTGCTCATTCATCTCAAGCTGGAGCAGGGTGTCCAAACAACGCCCTCTGACTGCAGCTGTAAAAGTACCTCCTATAGCTCTTCGCCATGACTGACTAGCTGAGGGGCTCATGCCGTACACGTGCACATCGTACTGAACTTTTGGCCATGCTACCTCTGTGTCTGACACGCCGTGCTGCGTGCCTGCCCGTTCTGCTTGCACCTTTAAGCTTTTTTGCTTGGCTGACTTGTTGCCATGCTGCTATTCTTCTGGCTGCTGCTTTAGGACGCACCCGCATGTTTGCTCCAGGATCGACCCCACTATCCACAGCGTTCTGAGCGACAGTGTATTTGATGTTATGCTGAGCGAGCCTACGTCCCACTTCGGTAGCTAGCCCTCTGTCCCCAGCGATAAGTTTGCTTTTGCTTGCCATACTGAGGTGCGCCTTGCTGCAAAGCCTTCCCAGTAAGGAACCCGCCTTGGTGAGGGCCTGCGTGAGGAACCGGACGGAGCCGAATGCGTATTGTGATATCGTCAACCCAAGAACTAGGGATGACCGTAGGGTAATACTTGTTGTGTACCGCTTCCAGAATACTATACAAATTAAATCTGCCAAAATCAAGGCCTCGACGGGCACCTGCAATGATGCTCTTGCCTGTCTGCACAGGCAAAACAAAGCAGCCTTCCTCTCGAAATACACGCACAAGGACATGGGCGAGACCCTCCATCAGGAGGACAAGGGGCGGGAACTGCAAAGCAAGACCCTGCTCGAAGAGTCTCTCGTCTTCGAGCGAGTCGTAAAAACCATCGATGTCCCAGAGCACGCTGGCTGACACCGTGTGAGTCGGGCCCATCTTGACAGCTTCGTCGGTGAAGGCTCTGAGTAGACCCACTCTGAGACAAGATGAGCCACGTGCTGCATTACCCAATTTGTCTGTCATCTTCTCAACCCACGCTGAACTGTAAAGTTGTCTCGCCGAGCTCCAAAGTCGAATAACATCTGGGATCAATCCAATCGAACGATCTGTGGTTTGTCCTTTTCTCAGGAAGGCTACGATGGTGGTCTGAATTTGCCACGGCCATCCTCCACGCTATTCGCAACGTTACAAAAACTTGGTAAGATGCGGCATGGCAGCTTGGGGTGACTACTTGAGAATGCCACCCGACTGTTCTACACCTGATGCTTTCTTGGAATTGATCTGCTTCACAACTAATGCCACCTGTTCGCCTGTAAGAGGTGGCCAAGGATTGTCCCGAGCTCGTTGTGGGGCTTCTCGCAGGAGAGGGTGCAACCGTTGTAAGGTATCTTGGAAGCCCATTTTTTCTGCCACAGCACACCCTTGCGACTTATGATGGTCTGGAGATTAGTGGAGCTGCCCTGGTCGTCGCGGAGCCCCGTCTCAATGCCGGTCTTTGGCTTGACGTGCCTGTGCAGCTTGTCCACAGTGTGCTGGAAAGATGACTGCACGCACGACTGAAACTCCTGATAGCTGTCGCGTGAGGCGTTCCTCTCCAGTGGCTGGCAGATTTCCATTGCAGAACTTCCCATCAACGGAACAGCTTCCTCCGACAAATTGTGTATGTTCATCAAGGCGCAAATCCAATCATACCTGTCTCTGCCCACGACTTGTCCGTGTCCTGAGGTCGGCATGTCTGGTGGCGCCTGCAAGAAACCGTGTCTCGGCTTGGTCCCGGCGATTTTTCCGAATCTGCGTGCAACGCAACGCGCGGAGGATGCGAAAAAGAAGGGTGACCTCCGACCTGGCTCCCGAGACGCTCCCCCTCGTTAGGCCCTCGGGCGCCCCCCGAGTTGGCCCTCGCCACAGACTCGCGGGGGCGAGGGGGTCGGCGGTCGCCAGGTCTGTCCACGTGGGGGCTCCAGCCACTGAAGACATCTTCGCAAGAAGGATTCCAAACAGCTTGTGAACTTGCCATCTTCTGACCCAAGGGAAAGTGCCGAGTCTGGGTCGTACTTGAAAGAATAACTACCCTTGATCCAATCTGGTGGCGACGTCCAAGCGCTCTTGGTCAAGGTGTTGCCCGCAATAGAATTCCACAGAGCTTCCAAAGGACCAGTGCCCCACTCCAGATTCTTTGCTGGCTGGATATCGGCTTTTCCAGTCTCCGTAGTACTGGACTTCTCGACCACTGAGGATTGCCACATCTGCTCGGGTGCGTCGAAATCGGAGTCGCATAAATCTCTGCGCAGGAACCTCCGAGCCGTGTCTGGGAAAAAAGGGTAAACAGGTGAGGTGGTGTACCCGCGGGCTCGGGTTCTGGTTGATCGATCTGGACATCGTGGTCTGCTCGTCGTTGCCGTGACTGCTCTAACTCAAAGCTTCTTCCTGGATCGCTGACTGTTGAGGTCTGAGCTGATCTTAGAAGGTAAAGGTGGCAAAAAAGGGCCTCGACATATCCAGTACTCGACGCGTGGTGAGGTGGGTCGCCATATTGAATTCTAAGAGAACGCCATAGTGATCTCCACCTTCCGCGTCCAACAGTTAGGAACTGTGATAGATTGGTGCGAAATCGTGCGAGCCGATGGCGAAATCGATGGTGCGCGACCCTGAACCAAGAGTAGAAGTATGTGTGGCGTCCGAAGGGTAGTATACTTTGCCATTCCATCTGTGCGCGCACCCTGCCATTTCAAGGGGTGTAGCATGGAGTTCCCCCATCGCGACCCATGGCACGTCGCGGTTGGGAACCAGAGCCGAAATAGAGAAAAGCTTGCTGACGTTGCATGGGCTCAAGTGACCGATCGAGACCGTGAGGTAAGTGCCAATTACCAATGAGGAAACCCTGGATATCCGCCACTGCACGGCGACGGCGCCCCGGAACGAAAGGGGACCTGCGGCCTTGGTGTTGGAGATGTCCACGTGGCCTGTCATGTTCGCATCGTCGTCGGGCAAGTGCCTGCAAGAGGTCCACGAGTGATGCTGTCGCATGCCGAGGACCACACCTCCTGCCTTGCTGACCTTTGCCGTAGGATGTGCTGGTGACACCAGTCCTTGCCATTTGTCCAGCTTCAAAGTACCCAAAATCTCCTGAGTGTCCTCTGGCATCACATGTGTCTCTGGAGTGCTAATGGCACGTGCGTCGCTTTGCTCAAAAAGTGTGGTGCTCCTCTTGCCCCACAGCGAACAATTGTGTAGAATGATGCGTCGGATATTCGGCTGCTGGCGAGGCGGTCTTCGCGCCTCAGGACAAAGCCACGAGGTGTTACCCCCCTGTCGGCTGCTGCTCGAACTCCTCGAAATCTGCCCTGGCGGCCTTGACCCCGCGAGCTGCTGCCAAGAGACGTTGCGCCTGTTCCGCAGGAGCGGCTCCCGCCTGTGACGAGGCTGGAGCTGGCGCCGCTGACGAAGAAGCTGCCGAAGACGGTGGAGCCTTGGCTGTCGCTGGCTCAGGTGCTAGAGCCTTTGCCGCGGGAGCCTTCGGAAGGGGCCTTGGCTGCTGGTGCTGCTGCTGGTGCTGCTGCTTCGGATGCTGGGCCTGCAGGAGCATCCCGATCACCCTCAGATGCCACTCCAGCGCCGTCGGGTTGGGTCTTGCGGCGTTTGAGGGGCATCCTCGCGCGGAACTCCTGGAACTCCTTCTTGCGTTGTGCCAGTTGAGCTGCTGCTGGACCAACTGCCTTGGCAATGAGCTGTTTGACCTCCTGCGCCAGTTTCGCCTTGTGCTCCTGCCAGGCGTTGACGTCCTCCTCTGAGAGATCCAGCTCGGCGTAGTCGAAAAAAACTCTCCATGTTCGAGTTCGACGAGGTCCTCGAGCACGTTCTCCTCGGCCTCGAGGACTCTGGATATATTGAAGTAAGCAGGCTTGACATGGGCGGGACGTGATCCGCCGTCTGGGGCGGCTTGCTTGATACGCTGAAGATCTGCCTCGGGCTGTTGTTCATGTCGAAGACGGGCATCTGCTGCTTCTTGCGCCCGAACTTGTACTTCAACTCGGGCTTCTGCCAACCGCTTCTCGCAGTCGGCCTCGTGATCCAGAGCCGTGGTAAGAGCCTCTCCAGCTTTGCGTGAAGCCACCGCCAGGCGCTGGGCTTTTCGCTCTCTCTCGAGGTCGGGCTTGGAGTTGGTTGGGGCCTGTGGCTGCGAGTCTGCAGCTGATGCAGCAGCAACCTGCTTGAGAGCCTCGAGCTGCGCTCCTGCTTGCGGCAACCTGCGCATCAGGGCGTCCATGAGCTGGTCGGTGGTCGGGGCGAATGGGTGAGCGGCGCCGTCTCCGAGGAACGCTGTCGTAGCTGGTGGAGACGCTGTATCTTGAGTCCACTTCCCAGGCGGCAGGGCAAATGGACTGCTCTGCTTGGCGCACTGGAAAGATGGTGGGCCCTTGTTCCATGAACCTGCATCTCGTGGCGGGGGCCGGCCACCGACTGCATGCAACAAGCCACCACATTGCCAACAGGATGCGTGCTTCTTCCAAGTCCATGTATAACGACACCCATCGTGAGGACAAACAACGAAGCCATGATACGAGTGCTGCTGTTGCCTGCCCATGACTGTGCACGGCCCGCGCTGGGCCTAGCCGTGCCGAGGGATGTGCTGACCCTTGGGGCAAGGGCCGCGCGCGCAAACCTGGGGCGGACCAAGTCTCGCAAAGATGAAAGCTGCCGCGGACTAGCGGTATCCGCGTCTGCCAATGCGGGCCCAGCCCGCCAAAGCATTAGCCTTGAGCCAAATGGCTACGGAAGGAGGAGGAGGAGAAGGAAGAGGGTGCGGAGGAGGAGGAAGAGGAGAAGGAGGAGGAAAATGAGGAGAAGGAGAGGGAGGAGAAGGAGGAGGAGGGGCAGGAGAGAGAGGAGGAGGGGGAGAAGGAGGCGGAGAGGAGGAGGAGGGGGAAGGAGGAGGAGGAGGGGGAGGCGAGGAGGGCAAGGAGGAGGAGGAGGGGGAGGAAGGAGGGGGGAGGAGGAGGGAGGAGGAGGAGGAGGAGGAGGAGGAGGAGGAGGAGGAGGAGGAGGAGGAGGAGGAGGAGGAGGAGGAGGGGGGGGAGGAGGGGGGGGGGGGGAGGGGGGGAGGAGGAGGAGGCGGAGGCGGAGGGAGGGGGGGGAGGAGGGAGAGGAGGAGGAGGAGGAGGAGGAGGACGCTAAGATGACCGATGGTTAGTTTCAAAAGCAGAGGGCTGAGCCGCATCCAGCGACAGCCTGGCCCAAATCTCCCGCTGAGCGGGAAACCTGGACTATGCCGATGCCAGAAGCGGCTCGGGCGGGCCAAACTGCGTCTCACCCCGCTTGAATTTCTCGAGGAAGGCCACACCAGTTGGCGTGGCCTGTTTGCATGCTCTGAGAAGTTTATGGGCGCCTCTAATAGCATGCGCGCCACACGTTAAGTGCCCTTACTCGGTATGACCATATCGTGTGATTGTTCAACGTAACGTGCACCTATGAATACATTGCTTAGAGATCGGGCACCCTCGATCCCCGCACGAGGCTGGGCGCTCACGCAGGGAGTGGCTAAAAACTCCTGGGCGGCCTCGTTGTCGTGGGAATTCGTAGGTATAACAGCAGCACGCACTGCGTGCGAAACGACATGTTAGTCCTGTCCCGCCTACTGGAATCAGAGTGTTCACACTCTCTCGAAGCAGCCTGGCAAGCCTCGGTCGCGGGTTGAAGCTGGGCCCCGGCTTCTTTTTGACCCGAGCTTTTGCTCGGGCACGGGGCCTGGCCAGGGGGCCCGAAGACTCGGAAAACATCGAAAAAAACATATCGCAAGCACGCGCCCTCACTGCTTGGGTCAGACTCTCGGCAATCTGGGCGGCCTCGACCACGCCAGGGGGAAGCTGGATCTGCTTGGACATGCTCTCCGCCAACTTATCTGCAATCTGATTACCAACCCACGAGAACAACAACACTTCTTTTTCAGCGGCCTGCTGAGGCGACATGTGCGACTCGATGTTCAGGACAGTGGTCGTCTTGACTCGTAGCAGGCGCTGGGCACGGCGCCATTCACTCCGATGTTGTTCTGGAAATATGTCGAGCTCGCGACGTTTCTCACGACATACGAGGAGTCCGCGACGTAGACCATAGCGTGGCCCGACGGGGCCTCCTCCAGGAACTTCAGAAAAGCGATGAGCCCCGTGGTTGATAGATTGGGCTCCCCAGGTGCCTCCAGAAGACGTCCGAGCGGTTCTGAGGTCAGGAACGGGGTTGGAGACATCGAAACCCTCGAGAACCATATAAGCCCAAGAGACGCGCCTGAATCTTGGGTCTCCTGAGTACTTACCTCCAGAGGCGTCGCCAGCTCCGACATTAAACTCACCCCTTGTGGGAAGTCGCCGGAGACGTGGTATGAAAATCTCGGCTTCGTCTGGAGGTCTTGGAACATGTGTCCACTCCGAAGGAGTGAAACCTCGAAGCCACACTGCTGGCTGCGCCTCGACCTGGGTCCTTGCCCTGTGCGCGTACAAATTGCTGCTGGCGGCTGAGGGTAAGTCGTTGTTCGCAGTGCATTCCCAAATCCTGTGAAAAGTAGTCTCGACATGTCCTCCGTCGCAGCGCTCGCACAACACCGAAAAATCTGGCGGATCGATGACGTCTTTAATTCTCTGTTTGGCCCATTGGCCTCCACAGCAAACGTTGGTGAGGGCTCCTGTCCACCGATGGTGCTCTCGATCTCTAGCTCGTCGAATGTGTTGCCTAACGTCCGAAAGGTCGATACCGTGTTCAATGTTTCCACTCTCGTAATGTTTAGCTGCGCGTTTCCAGAACATACGACGAACTGAATCAGCTAGCTCTTCTCGTCTTTTAGGTCGAGGGGCCCCGCTTCGAGGATCTCTGGAGTAGCCTGGTAGACATTCCCAAGATCGGATACCCAATGCATAGGCCCCACAGGATCCCAGTTGATGTCGGGCAAGGTGTTCACTACGGCCCTCGCGGGGCCCTTGACGTTCCGCCATCGGTGCAATGGGTTATTTCTTGCGCGTGCAACATGCCCCGCCCAATCTCTGGCAGCAAGACTTCTCTGCTCGACGCCTGCTGTGAGGATGGTCATCCAGCTGTCGGGCATCCGAAAAACTTGGTTGATGGCGGGGTCCTGCTCATTCATCTCAAGCTGGAGCAGGGTGTCCAAACAGCGCCCTCTGACTGCAGCTGTAAAAGTACCTCCTATAGCTCTTCGCCATGACTGACTAGCTGAGGGGCTCATGCCGTACACGTGCGCATCGTACTGAACTTTGGCCATGCTACCTCTGTGTCTGACACGCCGTGCTGCG